TCCCCCCCCCCCCCCCCCCCCCCCATGTACAAGAAGCCTTTGGCTTTTTACTTAATTCACTGCTAAGAATAGCACTCTGACTTGGTTGCTTAATAACCATACACAGTCGTTACTGTGGAGCTGCTCCTGCCTGTACGAGCATGTTTGCCTCTGCTGGCGTGTGTGCTTATCCAACCTGTGTGCACGCCTAATTGTAGTAAAGTGTTTTTGTCATATGTGAGTGCATGCTTCTCCGTATGTGGGTGAGATGTGACTCTGTGTTGGACTCGCAATGCGTACTTAAGTGGGTGTCTTCACTCAGGGGACTCGAAGGGGTGGCCGGGGTAAACCGCAAAGCAGTAAGGTTTTGAAATCATCACACTTTATGGTTGAGTAAAAATAGATTGTGGTGAGAGACTTAGGGCATAAAAGCTTGTTTTATGACTTCACTGCACAACATTTATATTTCTGTGGCACACTGTTTTTGATTGGCATTGTAGAGCTGATTGTGTAGATGTGCTTAAGTCTTTAGTCTTAGCTGCTTGTTAAGTTCCTTCTTCATGCTAATGAACACTGGTAGCCAAGCCCACACTGAGTGGAGGAAAGCTACAGTTGCCTAATGAGCCTCTCTTTTCAAACCCTTGTCCTGCTCTCACTCTGCCTCACTTCTCTTCCCAAAAAATGTGTTGCCAAAATTCCACATTTCTGCCATCAGTTCCTTCTTGCAAACCTCATCCTAACTGGTTATTATGACTAGGCATAAACTACATGTTTTGGGTTTGAACCAGCATGTTTGACAGCTGGCCAACTATCGGTCAGAGCTGCCAGAGTTCCTCACCTCCTGCGTGGCCTCTGTGCTCGCTCTCCCTGGCTTGACAATAAGACAAGAGGCTCCAGTCCACTGCTGCCACTGTGAAGCAGGATGCTGGGCAGCCTGAAGAATCTTGCAACTGCTGTCTCATTGTACTCGGCACAGAGTCTGCTCTGTTCCAATCACAGCAATGAGCAGAAGCCACCATGCTGCTTACATCCATCGAAGGGCACACACAAACATGCACAACAGTCTTAAAATACCAGGCTCTATTCTATTGCAACAACATCAGGGCATTACTGCCATTCATTTCTCACAAAACAAAACTTGGCACACAGGTTAGCCCCTGTGGGTATCATATTTATTATCCAAATTGTGCTTAATATTGTCTTAACTGAGTGATAAGCACTTTATTTAGGAAGGCTTGGAGGACAGAACCTTATTAGATGATAATTAAGATTGTCGTCTTAAAGTGCTTTGGCTAGTTTCACTCCTATACGGAAAGGTCAGCGTCTCGGCTGCACTCAAATCCTTTGTTAGCTGTCCCAAACCGATTTGCGCTTGGTGAGCAGATGTGGCTGACATTGTCAGTGCTGTGACCTTTAGCAATGGGAATGCCTCGGCCGTCTCCAGACCTCCTTATTCAGATCAAACCCCTCAATAGATGGAAAGGACATTACCCTATATTTTCTAAAACACACTCAAAAATTAAAGCCACTGTTTTACCACACATGTTGTAACATGCAACACACACACACTTTACTATGTTAAATGCAATTACTGTATGTTGGTAAATCTTGAAACCACTTTACTTTTCATACCTCTTGTCTGTGGACACTGTCTTTCACAACTGTGGAGATGACACTGATAACAGTAATTAGCCTGTGTTCATGTGGGTTTCTAAGGCGTGAAAGCTTGTGCACATGTATGTGTTTTTCAGGTGGCGTTATACAACACAGACCAGGAAGGTAGTGATAGTCCAAGAAGCAGCCTTAACAACAGCCTGTCTGATCAGAGTCTGGCCTCCGTCAATCTCAACAGTGTGGGCAGCGTTCACAGCTATACACCGGTAAGAAACGAGCAAGAATGAATCTTCCGTTGGACAAACTAGGGATGCACGATATTGGATTTTTGGCTGATATCCGATATGCCAGTATGTTAACACTTATTTGGCTAATAACCAATACCAATACCGATATTTCCCCTTAGACCTACGTACAGAAACTACATAGCTTTCTCTGCTGTCAAATTAACATACATTATTCTGCATGGTCTTTGTCAATTTGGCCTGCTACCAAATGCAGATGGAAAAAAGGGGGTTGAAAATGATGTAACACTTCAACTTGGATTATGTTTAACATCAAATTTTGTCACTGGATTGTCATACAAAAACGGTGCTTTTTATATTGGGAAGTTATTTTATGAAATGGTTGATATCCAATATTTAACTTTAACGCCAATATCGGCCGATGCCATGCCGATAATATTGTGCATCCCGAGGATAAACCATATGGTGAAAAGGATGTTTAAAGGTCTTGTTTCAAAAGTTTCTGGTTTAAGCAGCAGCTGAATTTCTAAGGGACGTGAGGAGCATAGCCAAACAATATGCAACTGTTTTAAACAGTTGCAAAACACAGATCAACACCTGTAGCAGCACAATGATGCACAAAAACAATACATCATCTTTTAGTTTGTGGTAAGGATTGGGGAAACGAAAGCAGAAAAAATAACTTCCTGCATTTTAATGTGCATCATTTTGAAGTTGTATTTTTTTATGCCAGATACTTGTGGTTAGGTCTGAAGTAAATACTACAGTATTACTACAGTTGTTTGGAGATGCCGCAAAAAAAATTGTATGTATTTTGTGTAATTATTTTAATCCATTGGAGAGCCACAGTTACTAAAGGAACATAAAAGAAACATTGCTAGCCTTTGAAAGTGCACAGTATTTCATTTAATCATGATGCCCCAAGAGGCCTTGTTCAGAGGAGCCAGATGTAGACGGCAATAGACCGAGGTTCAGGGTGGACATGTGCGAGACTACAACATCAGGAAGGGGGTTAAGAGAAACAAAGAAAAATGTGCTCGCTCCTGGAATCCAGACAAAGAGAAGCGCTCCCTCTGATGTCCTCCCACCAGAGATGCCCCCTCTTTGGTGTGGTCCTCCTGCATCCTGGAGTGCTCCTTGCTCCAGGCGCTGAGCATCGATCGGCTCAGCCTGATGGATGTGCTTGCGCTCCTTCTATCTCTCTCTCTCTTTCACAGCCAAAGCTCACAGTAAACACTCTGGCTTTATTGCCACCTCTTCACTCTTCCCCAAGCCAGTCTGTGAGCCACGCTCTTCAGCAGCATGTCCACATGTTAGAAGAAGACATTTGGATCAAAAATTGAACATGACCTCTCCTGTAAAGCTTGCCCACAGTGGACACGGGTCAGGTTCTGCGCCGTTAAAAAAAGAAAAACTATAGAGAGAGAAATGGGTTTGTATTGTTAGCCTGGTAAATTTCTTAGACAAACTCTTAGCTGGAGGGGTGGCTGCTTGCCTTTTCACACCCAGAGGCAGCATATAACATTGGCTGCCCACACAAATACATGGATAAAATGGCTTCTTATTTGTACAAGGTATTGCTATTGATTTTGTTTTAAATACATTTTGCTCGGCCACCTGAGTATTGGCTTTGTGTCCATTCGAGTTGCTCTCTTAATGTTGTGTGAGGCAAGGCGGTGAACACTGGCTTAGATTGTTATGGTATGTCTAATTTGTACTTTGTTAGTTGACGGAGACATTTTCATAGAAAAAAAATGTTAGTCACATCACAGAAAAATGAAACCACCCCTGTGTTTTATGACTGATTTGTGTAAAATATTCCAGATGTTTGATAATTTTTGGTTCCTTATGACAAGTATATTTTAAACTTCTGTTTTGTTGTCTGTTTCAACACAATGTTTTTTTTATTATTATTTATCAGTTGTCCCTGCTGTTTAGATTGCAGTGCTCTTCTACAAGAGCTTCAGTCAACAAAAACAAAAAAGGTTAAATCATGTCATCTGGACCAGTTTTGTTATCTACCTGGATGATTGAGCCTACAAACCTTTTTTTCTTTTAACTTAAGTCAATCTTTCCTTTGTTAAAAATATGCTTCCCATGTTTACATCTTCAGCAATCTTCATGTCCTTATCTCCCCAGGTATCGAGTCACCCAGAGACCGTGTCCCAGACTATGAGCCTGCAGCAGCCCCCCCAGTCCCAGTATAACATGCCAGACAGGGACAAGCAGCTTCTGTTCTCGGAGTTTGAAAATCTCAGTGCCTCCTTCCGCAGCCTTTACAAGTCTGTTTTTGAGCAGTCCTTCAGCCAACAAGGTGAGCGTCCTCACGAGGGCACTGAATGGAAATCTAACAGAGTCTAAGCTATACTTATTAAAGAAGCAGAAATAATGCTCTGAGCTCCTAACAGCTGGGGCTATAGAAAGTCTTTAGACACTAATGAGGTTTGCTGGAAGCCAGCAGGTACTCAGCCGACTGACTTCGCTGTAATGCAAATTTATACAGAGTCTCCCTGGTCTTTTGCCAGGGAAATGTTAAAATACCTTGTTTTATATTCCAAATGCGAGACTGAAAAGTTATGTCTTAAGCATTTCATAGAGCGATGTAAAGAGATATTGCTGTACTTTATTATTAATTATCTTCTTTATAGTTTTGCCATGACATGAAAGTTAATGTGTTTGGTCCTGTTTCAGTTTTTTTTTTTTTTTTTATGTGGGCCTGATTTCATCAGAGGAGTGGAAGAGCTTGTTGGCAGCTAAAATACTCAGTTGGCCTAACGTTTAGTTTTATCACAATGATGAGATTTTGTGTCATATAATGCATAGTGGGGCATAGCACAGCTTTCCAAAAACGCTGAGTTCCTGCAGAGCAAAAGTCAGATTGATTGATAAACACAAAGCACTTGACAAGCAAGAAGTAAACTGAGCTTTCTGTGTATAACCCACTTTCACAAATCAAATACTTTGCATGCTAATGAGTCTCTTGCCTTTAGTCTATCATCTGTGTTTCATTAGTTAAAAGTTGTTACCTTTTTTCTCATACATAAAAGTGAAATCTTCCAGTCAGATGAGCTCCGGCAATTAAAAAAGCGTAAATAATCGAGCTGGAGGATTTTACACTCTGCAGCCGTAGACAGTGAGCTAATTCACTGGCTTTGATAATAGGTAATGAGCTCGCATTATTATTCTGGTGCTGCGTTAATTGCTTTCTGTATTTCCCTGGTTGGACAATGGGCTTTCTGTGCTGATAAGAGATGCACCTTTGTCACCCGTGCTGTGAGTGTTATGTGCCGATTGTGGAGGTACAAGGCTCGAGTCGGCTCTAAAAGCACTCCAGTGAAATAGGTTTACTGTGCCAAAAGCTGTGAAGGACAGGGCCTCTTAAGACCACTCCCCACCACTCACATGATTGTAGTTGGGTGTGCAGATGTTCATGCTCTAGTCACAGCAGTTAAAGAGCTGGGCAGCAACATGAAGAGTTGGTCAAAGATGATGCAGGACTACAGAGCTAGAGAGGAAAGACAGCCTTCTAATCACTGCTGATGCTGAGTCATTCCTTAATGCAGCAAAAAGGCAGCAGGTCTGTCTCCAGAGTAAAACCGTTAAACACGGACTCCTTTATCCCACGACTGGAAGCTGAAACAAATCCATGTAAATACTGTATAACCTAACGTCAGTGTTGAAAAGTTTTTTTTTTTTAACTTTGTTTTGAAACTTGTTGCTTTTCAGAAACTGAATCTGAAACAAAAAAAGCAGGTTTTTGTCAGTTATGTGATTTACTGAGCCTACAAGTTGTTTTTTAATGAAAGAAATTATTAAAACTAGTGAGTCAGAGAGTCAGAGTTTCTTTGTCATTCACATCACATGTGGTAGTGGAACAAAATTGTGTACACAGGGTCCCAGTTACATCAAACAATAGCAAAAATATAAAGGGTAAAAAGAAACGGTAAATAAGGATCTAAGATATAAACTATGATATACGCTAAACGAACGCCAAACGGTACACTAAAAGATCTAAGATACTGTATGTACCAGTCACTAATGGTGCAAAACAATACACCGAACAACAGTAGCACGATTCTCATAGGTTGTTTTTTTTTTCAGCTATAATTTACACATTAATGCGAGCACTAACATAAACTAAACTAACATAAACTAGGATTTATTGAAAGCATGCAACAAAATTACAGAAACAAGGCGCCAAACATGAAAAAGAAATAAATCTACAGCAGCATGGTCCTATTGGCAGAGTGGTTCTGATTAGGGATGGGGCCGATCCGATCCAGTATCGGTATCGGCCTCCGATACCAGCATAATTTACATGTCAGATTTTTCCGATCCACCTGCCGATATTTCCGATCCATGATGCATGTTGGCTTCAAACTATGGAATGGATTTCCTGAACGGCGGCGTGTCTCATGAACCCAGAGTAATAAGACCCGCCTCACATTCCATTTCATAGTTTGCAGCCAGCTACAACGTGAGGACTGAGTTAGCAGCACTGTGGCTAACAGCTAACAAACTTTTCATCTAAACATGTCCGCTGTGTGGAAGTATTTTACACAAAACGCCACAAAACAAGACAGCATCGTGCAATGTCTGCAGAGACATAGCTATGCCACATTAAACCGCGGTGAAGTTAGTTTTACGATGGACATTCGAGCTCCGTGGCTTCAGCGGGGCACTACTCTTTGGTCAAACTGAAAGAGGCGACTCGACCTCGGCCAGCCACGTCCAATCTGCCCCGCTCAATCTGCTCGTCTCTGAGGAGGGACAGATTGAGCACAGCTGACCCAAATCAGGCTGCCTGCTTCGGATTGAACAAGAAGAAGACGTCGCTGAAACCACAGAGCTCAAATGTTTACAGAGAAGTTGCTAAACTTCATAATTAATGACCAACCACTATCAGTTGTAGAAAACGAAAGATTTCACAGTTTGATACTTGCACCCAAGATATAGTTTACCCTCCAGGAGACATTTATCTGTACAACAGTAGACAATCATAAAAACATATGATTTGAAAATTATATTAAAAACAAAAACAGCTACATTATAAAGTGATGTAAAATACTAAAAACAGGAACATGTCTGTTGGTTTATGCCATGAACTTAGCAGATGTTTAAAGCCAATTGACATTTTACTTTATTTAATTCATTTATTCATTCATTTATAAAAAAATAAAAAAAAATTAAAAAAAATCATCAAAAAGAAAACCTTGAATGAAAAGAGTGCAGAAAGAAGAAAAATAATTATTATATCTGCCCCTTATTTAAAAAATGTAAAATAACTTTAAACAATCACTTAAATTAATCACTTTAATATCCACTTTAAAGCTAGGAATAAAAAGAAACATGTTTTGTGTTAGCAGAATTTAATTCTAACTTTAAAACTTATCCAACATTAATACAACTTACCTCAAGTTGCCTTTTTGGACATGCATGCATATATTTGTACAAATTGTACTTGAGAGGAGATTATTACAGCCTCATATAAAATCTATGATGATTATGATATCGGAACTGGATCGGTATCGGCCGATACCCAGTTTTAGGTATCAGGATCGGATCGGAAGTCAAAAAAGTGGATCGGTGCATCACAGTTCTGATTACAGTGAAGTTATCTTAGCAACATGGTCCATTTAGCACCATGGTACTGTTAACAACGTGGTTCGGTTAGCAGCCTGGTCTCGTTAGCATCGTTAGCAGGTCTTGTTAGCAGATCCATTCAGCAGCATGATAAGGACCGCCACAGCTGCCTCCCAGACTGCCCTCCAGAACCAGGTCTAGCTGACAGAGAACATCCATGGAGGATCTTGTTAGCAGCATTAGCAGCTTAGCAGGTCCCATCGACACCCTGATGGTAACAATGACTGCCCTCCCAGACAGCCCTCCAGAACTGGGTCCGGCAGACGGAGAACATCCAGGTTTTCCCGCGGAACCAAACGGGTCTGTAGAGTTCGGTCCATGCAGGCAGATGGAGGATCATGGAGACAGCCGCCATGACAGGCCTGAGCCCGAGGCTGGAAGGACTGAACCATGATGGCAAGGCAGCGACACAGGAAACTCCACAAGTGTGTTGCGGTCACACCCGTACTGTGGATGTACATTGTAGTCAAAAATAAAGGTTAAAACAGAAACAACAGGAACCAAAAAAGTTAGAGTTCACCGGGAGCCTGTGAAGCTGCGACTCGGCTGAGCGCGGCCATCTTGGAACCAGACTGCATGGCATTAGAAAGACTTGTGATGTGTGATATTGTTTAATGTTGCGATGATATTGTCAGTTGCAATAATAAACCCAGTTTTTTTCTCACTTTCTTCTGTTACCACTATCATCTAAAGCAGATGTGAACACCAAAACCAGTGATAGTCTGTTAGATTGACCAGATATAACTGATTTGCCTTGGGCGATCAAAGTAACTTTCTGTTCTTCTGTATATTAAAGTACTGGTATTAGCATGCAGAACATGAATGCATGGTACTTGAAATAATCTATAATGATTCAAGATTTAAAGCAATCCATTGCGTTATTGATATTGCACTTACTGATATTGTGGTGACAATAAATTTTTAATGTATTGCTCAGCCTTAGTTAAAACCTGATCAACTGAATGTACGACAATAAGAACCTTGGAGAGAAGTGCAAATCCTTACAACTGAGTAACTGGAACTAGTGAATCTGGGAATGTTGTGAGAAAATTAAACTTTTACTCCACTTTCTACAGGTGCATTTAAAGGTGCTGTTTTGGCCTTTGGGAACGCATTTTTCATTCAGTTTATATAATAATGCAGTTAACTGAGAAAACCATGTGTTTTAACCCATAATCTTCATAAATGCATCCTTATTCAAAAAGTTCTTATTTTTCTGTGATAATGTTTATCAGCTTTGAGTTTTTGTTTTTCAGGTCTGATGGGGATACCATCAGATTCCTCCCAGCAGACTCACACCTCCTGCTCCTATCAGCACTCCCCCAGTGGCACCATTAACACTCAGAACAACCTGTCAAACAACCAACCCAACAACCACACCAACAACCACTCTACCAACAGTGGGCAGGTGCCGCTGTCTCACCCTGCCCAAGCCCACCCTGGCCACGGCTCACCCCACGCACAGCACCTCTCACAGCACGGTGGCACCCACAACCAACATGGCCAACACAGTCAGCACCCTCAGCACTCTCAGCATCCGCAACACGCTGTGCACTCTCAGCACCCCCAGCACGGGCAGCACCCGTCGCATGGCCAGCACCCGCAGCAACACACAGCGCACCCCTCCCAGCATTCGCAGCACAGCCAGCACCCAGCTCAACACGGGCAGCAGCACCAGAGCCTCTCCCACCAGACCCATCCCACCCAGCAGCAGATGGCCTGCAACACAGGTAAGACCTTCTGCCTGTCTTCACCAGCGCCGTCTTTTGTCTTCTCTTCATCAAATAATCACAGACACGCATGAAACAGAACATAGAAAACATGTTTGCAGCTGAAACAGGATTCACTCCTCGTTGTTTAGTCATAAATCACAGAGATAATATTTGTAGGTGCTAAACAGTAAATCATGATCTGATTTATTATCTGTTCTGTTGAGAACAAAGCAGAGCTGGAGCCGCTGACTTCAACAGCCTTTACGGAGTTGTCTGGCTCCTCCTAGTGGCCACTTCTGAGTACTGAACTGTTTATCAACCTTACTGTTATCTCTTGTTTTTTTTGGCACTCATAAAAAACTCATTAAAAACAAGACTGATCTCTCTGTATAATCTCGTACCTGGACTGTTACAAATCACCTGTTGTTTGTTTGTGTTGCAGGTTTACTCTCCGACTGGTACCCAAATTTAGATGCACTGAAAGAAAGCTGTCGCATTGCCAGCAGCTATAACTGGGCAGATGTTGACCTTTCGCCTTTTCAAGGTGCGACAAGACAAATAGATATTAGTTGATAAAAAATTCTACAAAATAATTTTGTTGTTTTAGTTTATCTGTAAATGGGGTTTTTAGGACTTCAGCTTTCTCTGTCAGATTTAACTACTTTAACTCGACCAGTAATGAGGCTCAAACATTTAAAACTAGGAGCTCTGCCCCAGCGTTTTGATTGAGTGCTGATGTGTCGGCACTATGGAGCTGATTACAACTTTAATTAAACTGAGCTCTTCAATTAAATAGCACCGCCTTCAAGTTTAATTACTGAAACACTGAGCTCAGCAGGTCATTTTATCCAATTAAGAGTCTAGGAATGCAAGGTAGGATGTTTTTAAATATCAACCACTGAATGTTACTGACGTAGCTGTTATGTACTGTAGCCATACTTTTTTGATGGACATTTGTTTCCTAGTTACTGTTTTTATGCTCTAATAGTATTCTGGTGTATTTTGTTATAGTTCTTTGTTTCATCAACATTTCTGTGTTAAATTGTGTATTTTCTTTGGCCTTCAAGGGTTGAGAGAGAGCATGAGACAGGCTGAGCTGAACAATTGGTGCCTTGAACCTACCCAGATTGCAGACCTCTGCTCATCCATCAACCAGTTCTTTGCCCGGACCGGAGTAATTCAGCAACAGGGGGCTGTGCAGAGTCCTGTTTGTCACGGGCCCATGCACACCAACAAACCCAGCCAGCACCTCAACACAGGTCCTTAACTCCATGGTTTCATTCAAATTTCATTATAAATATTTAGGGGTGCAATCATGTTGGTGTTTTTTTATTGTTAAATAAAAAATAATTGTTTAGTCAAGCTATATTTTTTATTTTTCAGAGAAACATTACCGTATTTTCCGCCGTACACGTCGCACTGCCCGCCCTATAATTCGCATCAGTCCAAATATGTCTAATAAAGTGGAAAAATCCATAAATGTCTCTTCGCTGTATATCTATTATGCGTCACTGCTGACAACCCGGAAACATTGGCCGGTGTACCAAAGATCGTAGATCGTCCTCCCATGCATGCTCCCACGGCTGCCAAATGGCATGCATGGGATGACTTTAACAAGAATTTTACAAGATAAACACTTAAAACAATTATTTGTTTGCTCGAAATTATAGTAAAGGTGTGTCTCAGTTTAACTTTTACTTAATAAATGCACTTTGACGATCAAATCAGCTGCATTTCAAAAGTATGTGCTGCCTCGGTGCTACGGGAGCACGCAGAGAGAGGAAATCAGGAAGGAGGAACACTGTGCATTTCTTCAAAATTTAACAAGATAAGCACCTAAAACAATTGTTTGTTTGCTCGACATTATAGCAAAGGTGTGTCTCAGTTGAACTTTTACAGAATAAATGCACTTCAATGGTCAAATTAGCTGCATTTCACCGGAGCAGCGCAGAAAATGAAGCTGATTTGACGGTTGCTCCAGGCGAGCTGGATGAATGTGGCAGCATATGGCAAGCCGAATGTGTCATTAATAGCCACCTTTTTCCTATTACATGACACAACGGCATGCCATACTACTCTACTACCATCTAGTGGCTGAAAATGGTAGTGTTAAATATTTTCAATCATAATGAATGAAAACGGTCATATCTCAGCCAAAAAATTGGTTTATAAATATGGGAAAAAAATCCATAAATATGTCGCTTTAACGTATATGTCACAGGGCATGCAAATTATGCAAAAAAGAAAAACGTGACTTATAGACTGAAAAATACGGTTGCTGTTAGTTTTGTGGCAGCCGTAAATATTATGTTATGAGAGGCAAAAGTTTTGTTTTCTATTATTCACATGTTTTTTCTGCATGTTTGAAACATTTGTTGCCTAAACTGAGGTCTTAAATGAAGTTTTGTTCCTCTCATTAGGAAATCTCTACATGGACTCGAGACAGAGCATGCCCATGATGGGGCCTCCAGGATACCCCCACATGCCCCCCATGAGCAGCACAGGACCCTCTATGACAGGTAGCAGCTAATGAGACGGCATTAAAGTGGTCACATGGACCAATAGCAGCAACTTACCTTCTATCTTTTTCTGCACAAACCCATTCTCTTCAGGACACCATGCACAGATGAACCAGCAGCACATGATAACTTCCAGAAACTTCCAGATGCATCGCATGCCAGCTGACGACATCCAGGATGACTTTGACTGGGACTCCATTGTTTAGCCACCAAGACCCCCTTGTTGCAACTCAATCCGAGCGATGAGAGGAGGCGTTAATCCAGAGGAAGCTGGGCTGAGCTGACAGGCCGTAGGTGGAGGAGGCCGCTGTGTGAAGCAGAACATTGGACAAGTTTTGGAAACGTACAGACTCCAGAGTCCTGATAATTTTACAAGAGCAAATCTTAACCAGAAAATGTTACTTGGAAGACAATCATATGTAGTCGGACATGTGATCAATAACAAACTTGTCTCGAGGCAAGCAGAACTCAGTCATGTCTAAACCACATGGTCCTCAGCTCTTCAGCCAGCCCTCTCCTCATCCTGAGCGATCAGCCTTCCAAAGTCCGACCCCCACCCCACCCCTCCGACCCCTCTGCTCCGTAACCGTTATGTGATTTGAGCAACGTGTTCAGCTTGTAATTCTTCTCGTGTTGACATTGGCCTCAGCTGCCTCTAAGATGATGTTGTCTCCCTCTTTTTATTTTTTTGTTTGTTTTAACTTTTTGATTTTAGGAATCGCAGGCCGTCTCTGTGAGTAACACGATGGTGCTCGTTGGTCACGTTTGGGAGAAAGCGAGCTCTGCTGTGGAAGAGTCAGCGGCTGAGTCAGGTTTACAAAAGCTGAGGTTTTGAACAGGGTGCGTTGATTTAGATTAGTACAAGGAGAGGATCGCAGAGTGTCGTGCTCTCCACCCCGCGGTGGTTCTGGGAGTGCAGCAGCTCTCGTCTTTAGTTCTCGTTCTCAAGCTCTTCAAGACGAATGAAGATGATGGCGATCAGATGAAAGCAAGCAGGTGAAGGTAACGTTTTGTCTTTCTGTGTGCATCATGTTAGTTTTTATTTGCTTATCTTTACACAGACTGTTAAAACCAAGGCTTGGGTTTGTTTACAGGTTTTAAACGGTAATAAAAAGATGGTTAAAAGTTTAATAATTAATGCTAAAAGGCCAATCTATAGTCTAAAAATCAGAAGAGTACTTCTGTCACTTTTAAGGAACTTTCTAAAATAATTTTAGCATCTAAATTTTCAAATATGGACGTTGATTTATTTAAACTGTCCCATGATTTGTTGGGGTTACATATAATTAAGCTTTTATAAAATAACCAGAACAGCGACTCACATGATGCATAGTGTGCATGTTTAGTGAGCGTGGCCACTATGATTGCTGCAATCCTCTCGATGAGCACAAAAGCAGACGGACTCGGTTGAAACGTGTAGAACTGAGACGTTCAATAAAAAGTTTCTCAAGCACAGAGCAGGGAGATCCGTGGTTCTGTTTGCCGGGCCTTTATGTGCTGTTAACAAGTGACTCCCAACAATCAGACCAAAAGAGACACTATGTTTAAATTAAACGCCCTTTGCACATTTTTACACGTTGTTTACTTAACAACCTTAAGATGCCGGTTTGCTTCTGGATGTGCAGAAGTGTCCAGACACTGACTCATTCGTGTGTTGAGTAAAACTCATCGTTTCACTCAGTTTCTAACAGAACCGCTGTCTGGCGTTGTTGTTTCTGCTCTTTTGATTCAGGTTTGTGGTGCTCTGCATATACTGTCCGTGTCTTAAAGGAACATGAACAATATTTTGGGATAGAATACTTTTGTTTACATTTTGAAGAAAAAATGTCTGCCAGTGATGTTATCTGCATGATGAATGGGAAGCAGCAGCTTGCTGTCTGTTAGCATAATTTAGCATAAAGACTGGAAACATGCCCGTTTGTCTGCAGCTCTGCCTGACAGACTCCGTACTCATAAACCTGTAAAGTGTTCAGTTCTGTGCAGTTTATTTTCTCCGTTTATGGGACAAAATAACTGAAGCACATACGTAAAATGGCAGATGGTTTAAACGGAGGGATTAATCCAGCTCATTTCACCATTAAAAGCTGAGATTTCTAACTGGAAAATCTCTTTAATTTTATCCCAAAAGAAAAGAAAAAAAAGTCAGGATTTTATTTTATTTTTTTTACTCAAGAAAAGTTCAATAAAACTCGTATGTTTGACTAAACTGCATCACATTTGTGCTTTTAAGGAGCAGTTTGTGACAATATTGTTTTTTGAATAAAGCTAAGTTGAGTTTAAAATTATATATATATATATATATATATATATATATATATATAGTGGAATTCAAAGAACTTTATTCGAGCACAAATTTATCCTTTAATATTAAAGCAGTTAGGTTTTTTTTGTCCTGCAGTTTCCAGTCTTTGTGTGAACATGAAAAAAAATGATGTAGAATAAGTTCTTACCTAAATGACAACAAGAAACCAGACAATTTGTTTCAAATGGTTTTGTTTTTAATTTTTGAACCGAGTGACAATCATGTTGTTTCTTTTTCCCTCATATGTCAGAATCTCACACAAACTTTTGTCATTGTGGAGAAAAAAGGCACTTTTGAGCCTGGGACGGTTGTTTCGTTGATTGTTGCAGAACCATATTTCTGATCATGTGCGAGGTTTTTCGGAGCACCACTCAGCCCGGTTCAGTCTGTGAGTCTGTCCAGAGCTTCACTGTGCAGATAAACTCAAATGATCTTCTTTAAGCTGATGATGCTGCCATGGATTTTTAAATTTTTTTATTTTACTACTAACATATTTTCAGCTCGTGTTTTTTCTGCTGATCACCTCTGCTTCTCTCTCGCCTTGTTTATTTTATTTATCTGGCATCATCTGTGTGTGTTTGTGTTTTAAATCTGCCTCACCCATCGATGCCAGTAAGGATGTTTGGGTTTTAAAGAAACTGCCAGGATTTCACCAAATCATCATTGAAAGTGAAGTGACGGCGAGCTGAAGGATCAGCGGTGTGCGTTGATCTGGACTGTACGAAGCCGTGATGGAGCCTTTGAACGGCGTGAAGCGTTTCAGCTCTTCCAGGTGAAGACTGAAAACTTTTCTAAGAGCACATCGACCCACAGGAGACGGAGAAGAACTGAGAGAACCCGTGTGGCTAAAAGGGAAATGTTGAAGAACTGACTGGATCCCAGTTAGTGTTTTTTTTTTTTTTTTAACAGTTTAAGTTCTCGTGTTTTTTGTTCCTTTTCAGAAGACGGTTTAAGTTTTGAAATACAGCTGGACATGTATAATAATAATCTGCCAGAGAGATTATTATTATTATTTTATTGTTATTGTTATTTGGGAAGAAGAAGAAAAGATGAAAACGTTACAACATGGGAGAGAACTGCCAACATCTACTTCTGGTCGGGGCCTATTTTATTCAGTGCTGGTGTGTTGTGCTTGTACAGATGTGTCTTTTCAATCATCCCTTTTTTCCTCTGGGGGGAGGGGGGGTTGTGATATCCAGGCAGAAGGTGGGTTTTATTAATGAAAAAAGAGAAAAGGGGGTAAAAGAATAGAGTATTTTGTTATTGTCCGATCAGAGGGTGACAGTATGTATATATCTATATTGTATATATGTGATGAAAATGCGTTGGCTTTTTGTGTGACACTACCTTTTACCTGTGCTATGGTTCTACAGTGTTTCAGTGTTGAAAATATGTATTTAGTTTGTGTTTTATTGTTTCAGTTTTTTGTTTCGTCTTTTGTCATTTCTTGTAATTTTCCCCTCCTGTTTTTTTGTTTGTTTTGTTTTATTGCACGATTTATTACTTTTGTTGTCCGATGGGGTGACACAGCTACTCTTTGTATTTGTTTAGTGCTGTAAAATATCTCAAGTGTTATTACAACTGTCTAAAACCAACGCCCACCCCCACCCCTCCTCTTCCCCAATATGCATGAATGGCACTTAAAAATAAAATATAACTTCACTGTGGAATATTGTGATAACTGAGAGCTTTTGTTTCCTTTCATTAACTGATACTTTATTGTGGTGAAAACTGGTTTTAAGTAGCTTTTGTTTTGTCCTAATGGTCAACAAATCCTCACCGTGGAAATGCCCACAACCCGTTCTTTTTTTTATTTTTTACACAAAACTGTTCAAGAGGAGCCGAAAATATTCAAATTAGGATTTTGTTGTTTTATGAATTGAGACCATAGAACAGGGCTATTCAACTGATGGTCCAGGAGCCAAATCAAGGCCACCGATGAACTCCGTTCAGCCCACCAATAGTTCGTTTTTAAATCGAACTAGATTTCAAACCATAAAACAAACTTGTTTAATGACTAACTGCTGGATATCAGGCCCCTGAGCTCAACTGTGGCCCCCTGAGCAATTTAGTTGAGCCCCACAATAGAATATATCCTGATTTAGTTCACTTTAAGTGGGTTTATCTTAGCTAACCTAAAAGTTGACTTAAACGTTTATAACTTTTACATAAAAGCTTTAACTTACTTACACTGATTCACTGGCATTCATTCATAAAGCTGCAGGAGACGACTTTACACAAGTCCTCTGAGAACAAATCATTTTCATATAATTAGGTTCTTTTGTGACGTAATCAACTCATCGTGACAACAGAAGAGAGGTGATGAAACGGGCTAAAATGGTAAAAAACAAACTAGTTTTTTGTTTGTTAAAATGATTCTTGTTTAAACTTGACAGGTCGGGGACGAGAAGAAAAAAGTGCAGAAGAACGAATTGGTTTAAATAACAGGAGCAAAGCATCAAACTATTTCTTATCTCAGACCTCCAAAAATCTAAATGACCCTAACAGATTGTGGAAAACCATCAAATCTCTCTCAGGCAGCCCCCAATCATCTGACCTCCCATCACAACTTCTCATTAACTCTGTTCCTGTGTCAAATAAGCATGAGATCCTGAACTGTTTCAACAAATATTTTGTTGCTTCTAGTTCTTTATTTGACACAGTTACTAATGGAAAATCAGCCACTTCACTTAATAACCAAACTTCTACAAATCAAATCTCTCCTACAAGTCAATCCTCAGTTAATCACACCTTCTCTTTTTCTCCATTCTCAGTCAGTGAGGTCAATAAACTGTTAAAAGATCTTGATCCTAAAAAATCTGCAGGTCCAGATGAACTTCCACCTTATTTCTTAAGGCTGGCTGCTCATATCATCACAGTCCCTGTGACCCACATCTTCAATCTCTCCATAAGACAAAACTCCATCCCAGACACTTGGAAAACAGCCTTTGTTCTTCCTTTGCTGAAGGGAGGAGACCCCACATCACTGAACAACTATCGACCAATCTCTAAACTCTGCATTTTAGCCAAGGTTCTAGAAAAACTGATAAACTCT